GAAATTCCAAAACAAACAAACAGTACTAAAGTTTCATCAGTTTGAAAATCGGGGATAGTTATGGCGTTGTTAACTAAAAGGGGGTTTAACTTTCACTCTTGTTCTGAGTTGTACCGTAACTTTGAAACTGGAATGAAAATGTTAGGACTAAATTTAAGAAACCTTATTATCAGCGTTTAAGATGACCCTTAGATTCTTTCTGAATCATGGGCGCCCGCAGGAAGGGGCAAGGGGGTTACTTGACCCTCCCTGGATTTTCAAAAAGAAAAAATTACTAGATATGTAAAATTATTCTTCTATGTTATTGGAAAATCATAAGGTATTTGTATTTCGATTTCATAATTTTTTTTAAACTTGAGTTACTTGACTCCCCTATTTGTTTTTTTTTCTATGAGCGCCCTTGCTCTGAATAGAAGATTTATTGCTTTAAAAAGAATGGGAAATAAATACATCGGCAGTTTTGTTTGTTTTAGAGTAAATCCACATTGTACTATCTGCTGTCTTCACTACGGGGAATCGAACCCCGTATTTTAGCGTTGAAAGTCCACAGACTCTTCCACCGGGGGAACATATTGACAAGTAGAATGTCTGTTGCGATCATAACGGTTTAGGTGGTCATATTCCGGTCCGGATGTACTATAGTGGTTAGTGTCCGGACTGCGTATTGATAGTTCGAGGTTCGGACTGTGATATATTGCTAAGTATGCTCCGCACTTATTGCTGTGGGGACGTTATAATCGTGGCAGTCAATCTTAGTATTCGGTTAGGAATAATAGTATAAGCTGTGGGTAGTTCTAATTGGAAGCCTTTCTTCTGGTCAACAGTTCTAAGATAGGGATAACAATTCGCGAACCTCCGGATTTAGTTCGCGAACTGGCCACCATACATCCCAATTTAGTCCAGATTATCCAAAATTCTCGTATAGTTTGTTTGCCTTGACACAAATCCACATTGGGCTATCTGCTGTGTCCGCTGCGAGGAATCGAATGCCGGATTTTGGAGTTGTAAGTCCATAAATTTACCGCTGATCCAATGGGGAGGGGGCATTCCCATTAAGAATGTGTAGTCTATAAATATTAACAATAATCAAAGCACGGGGTAAGGTTTGAAAAACAACAGCTTTTGTTGACACTGAAGATGCCAATTAGTCGACATCATCTAGAAGCATTGGAAAGGTAAATAATAATTGGTAAAGATGACGAAATTTGACACACTTGGGTGCATTTGACATGGGAATTGTAGTTGAAACTTGTGAAAGTTTTTCTTGTACAGTAATATTCTATACTAATGTTGTTGTTTTTTCTTTTGCACAAACTGTATGTGGCAAAGGTTTCAAAGGTGCAATGTTTATTTACTTATAAATATATGTTCGCATTTTGAGTATGATCATATTTATGACTTCGATCTCGTGAGTTGTCTGGTTCTTTTCTGAAAAGGTCGGCCGTGGTCTTAATGATGGCTTGACCCGACTGTGAATCCGATGGTTTGTAGTTCACACTCTGTAGACAGGAATAAACACGTGTAATTTTGCACATAGAGATTAATTGGAAATTAACATACATAACTTACACCTAGGG